TGAGGGAGAGACCGGCGAGCGGTCAGGGGAGGGCAGGCCGAGCAGGCGAAGAGTGGAGACCGGCGGCGACGACTGCGGCGGCTGCTGCGACGGATGGTGCTCGACCCTCAAACCAGCAGGGGCACGACGACCTCCGGGAGAACACTCAACAGCAGCACCCCCAGAACCGACACCCCCAGAGCGAGAACCCTCTCCAGCCCCAGCGGCACCCCCAGGCCCGCCGGGACAGACCACGCCAGGCGCCGCAGGACGAACACCCTCCTCAGCGCCAGCACCCCCAGAGGCCAAGAGCGGCAGCAACGGCGGCGGCGGCGGCGGCTGCGATGGCGGCTGCGACGGCGGCGGCGGCGACGGCGGCGACTGCGACAGCGGGGGCGGAGACACCAGGGAAGGGGGACGCGGCAAAGGCGGGGCGGGGGGACCACCAGAGTCAGCAGACTCCTCAACAGGGACAACTGACGGGAGGGGAGTGACATGGGAGACACCGGACGGGGCAGGACGAGGCGGGAGGGGAGGAGGGGCTACCGGGGGAGAGGGGGCAAGGAACAGGGAGGGGGAAACTGGGAGACCTTGGTGAGGGAAGCGACAGTAGAAGGAGACGGACTCGTCAAAGGTGACGTCACGAGAGTGGAGGAAGCGGTGAGACTGCGGGTGGTAAAAGAGCCAGTCAGACGAGTCCAGGGGGAAACCAAGGAAGACACAAGGGACAGTGCGGGCAGTGAGCTTGTCCGTGCCAGAGGCCCGAACGTGAGCAAGGCAGCCCCAGACGTGGAACGCAGACGCGTCATTGGGGGACCCGGTCCAAAGGAGGGTCGGCAAAACCTGCGCCGGTAGAAGACGCGCAGCCATAGCCCACGGTAGAAGAACGTCAGGCACGTCGGCCTTCCGCTCCATGGGAAACACTGTGGCGTAGCGCGTGTAGTCGTCGACAAGCATAAGAAAGTAGCGCTCGCCACGCGGTCCAGGGACGGGGGCAGGGCCCCAAACGTCCAGGTGCAGGGTCTGAAGGGGGGCAGTAGCAGGGCGCAGTGAGCAGGAGTGAGGAGCACGGCGGAGCCAGCCCTCGACGCAAGGCGTGCACGGAGGCGCAGTCGAGGGGGGGAGGGCAGGGAGCGACGCGGGGAGACCTAAGACAAGACCGTGCTGAGACATGTGACGCAGACGCGGGAGAGCAGGGTGACCTAGGCGGTGGTGCCACAGAAGGGACGGGTGAGTGAGGGACCGACACGAGCAAGCTGCAGCAACCTGGGAGGACGCACCAAATGGGGGGGAAGCGGTGTCTAGGGTGAACAAACCGGACACCGGGTCCCGGGGGAACGTCGCAAGGGGGGAACCTGAGACAGCCTCAGAACAGACAGCAAACTGCTCGTGCCTTGAGAACGTGGTGGTGACGCCGAGGTCCTAGAGACAGCCGACACCAACCAGGTTCCTCGAGAACGAGGGAACGTGGAGGCCTGTAAGTGAGCCCGAGGGAAGTGCTGGACAGGGAAGGGACGTGGAACTGCGAGCGACGACAGGACCCGCAGAGGGGTCAGCGAGAGAAACAACAGCAGGCGCAGCAAGCGGCGTGAGCGTGGAATGGTCGTGGAAGAAACAAGCTGAAGCACCGGAGTCGAGAGTGAAGGACAGCGAAGCAGTGGCGGAGGCCGGGACCGGAGCCGGTGCAGGGACTAGGCTAGGCAAACTAGGCAGTCCTACGCCTGACGTAGTAGGGGAGGCTAAGCTACACAAGGGTGCAACACCTAAACTAGAGTACACAGGGTAATAAGATCCAGCAACACTAGAAGCGTCAGAATACAAGGCATGCAAAGCAGCACCTATCTGATCCATGTCTAACTCAAAGATCGGCACGCCCTGGCAGAGCAGGCTGTGCCAGTCGGGGAGGTCCGGGGCCAGGCCAAAGTGACGACGAAAGAGATCGTCGAGGCGGTGGAAACAGCGGGCGGTCGGGTGCGGGCGGCGTCACACAGTGCCGCGGAGAGGCCCGGTCTGAAGCTGGTACTGTCAGGTCAAAGCATCGGAGCCGCCAGTAGACGCCGAGCTGCGCGGGCCACCACCACGGCCACTACCTCCGGAGGTGCCAGGCCAACCAGGTGGGAGACGAGCCCACGGCGGCAGCGCCTGCTGCTGGGACGGCTGCTGCTGCTGGGACGGCGGCTGCTGCTGGGGCTGCTCCTGCTGCAGAGGGGACTGCGGCTGCTCCTGCCCACTGGTGGTAGTCCTCTCAGGCGGACTACCGTCACCACCACCACTCCCACCACCACCAGCGCCACCACTCCGACCGCCCTGGCGGCCACGGCCACCGCGGCGCGAGCGCTGTTGCGAGTGGACCGCAGCAGCAGTCTTGGTAAGAGGGGTCGTAGTGGCGACCGCAGCCGAAACGTCAGTAAACGTGCACTGGGAGGGGGCACAGCCGTGAAAGATAGAGACTGCCGGCGCACCACTCGACTGAGCGATAGTGCACTGGCGAGTCTCGATCTTGGTGAGGGTGTCGACAAAGGCGGTCAGGGTGAGGTCACCCGGGTGCTGGCTAAGGAAGTGGTCGCGAGCACTAGCTAGGCGGTCCGGCAGGCGCATGGCGATAAAATAGAGCGTCATGCAGAAAGGGGGGGGGAGCGCAGTGAGCTGGGCAGCAGTACTGGCAGTGCGATAGCGAGTCTCTAGGGCACGCAAGTGAGTGGCAAAGTCGGCTATAGTAGGGAAGGCAGCAAGGTCTGGGAACAGCATCGGAAAGAGCAAGCGGCCGGCAGAAGCGGATGTGGGTGTGGAATAGCGAGCAATAACGGCGTCTAAATAAGCTTTGGCCGTATCAACCGTAGCGAAACGCGAGCGCTCAGACACAGGGAGGGCGTGACTGATAGCAACCTGAGCTACTGCATCGCGTGAGTCCCAGACCGCAGAGGCAAGCGCAGCAGTAGAGAAAGCCTCACGGTCATCAGAGGAGGGGTCAGCAGGGAGGGGAGCAGGTGCAGGGGGGCGGGGGAGCAAGCCATCAGCATGGACAACCAAAGAGTGGCCATCCTGGCGCTGACCTGTAAGCTGTCGGCGGAGATCGGAGAGCCAGGCGGCGAAGTCAACCGCGTGGCCCTCAGCGTCTAGTCGGAGCACGAAGTCAGCCATCGTGCAGGGTCAGCGACACAGCTCCTCAGCGACACAGCTCCTCAGCGACACAGCTCCTCAGCGACACAGCGGCACAGCTCCACAGCTCCGCAGGAGCACAGCGGCGCGAGGACACGGCGGCAGCACTCTCCAGCAGGGCGGCCGCGAGGCGCCCCAGCGCAGGCGAGCAGAGGAGACGGGGCCCGAGGTGGCACGGCAGGCCGAGCAGGCACGAGGAGGGGCCGGGTGGGCAGGAAGTCGGGCAGGCGCGACGGGGCCGGGCGGGCGCTAGGAGCCTGGCGGGCGCAAACGGGCCGGGCGGCACTAGGAATGGGGCCGGGCCAGAGGTCGAAGGGCCGGTCGGTAGCTAGGAGGGGCCGGGCGGTCACTAGGAGGGGCCGGGCGGGCGCTAGGAGGGGCCGGGGGGTCACTAGGAGGGGCCGGGCGGTCACTAGGAGGGGCCGGCGCGCGCAACAGGCCGGGCGGGCGCGGTGGGGCCAGGTGGGTGCTAGAGGGCCAGGCGAGCGCGGTGGGGCCAGGCGGGCGCGGTGGGGCCAGGCAGGCGCGACGGGGCCAGGAGGGTGGGACGGGGCCAGGAGGGTGCGACGGGGCCAGGAGGGTGCGACGGGGCCAGGAGGGTGCGACAGGGCCAGGCGGGCGCAGTGGGGCTAGGAGGGCGCGACGGGGCCAGGAGGGCGCGACAGGGGGCCAGAAGGGCGCTACGGGGCCAGGAGGGCGTTACGGGGCCAGGCAAGCGCGACTGGGCCAGGAGGGCGCGACGGGGGCCAGGAGGGCGCGACTGGTCCAGGAGGGCACGACGGGGACCAGGAGGGCGCGACGGGGGCCAGGAGGGCGCAAAGGGGGCCAGGAGGGCGCGACTGGGCCAGGAGAGCGCGACGGGGGCCAGGAGGGCGCTACGGGGGCCAAGAGGGCGCGACTCGGCCAGGAGGGCGCGACGGGGGCCAGGAGGGCGCTACGGGGTCCAAGAGGGCGCGACTGGGCCAGGAGGGCGCTACGGGGGCCAGGAGGGCGCGATGAGGGCCAGGAGGGCGCGACTGGGCCAGGAGGGCGCGACGGGGGCCAGGAGGGCGCTACAGGCCGAGCGGGCGCTAAGGGCCGGGCCGGGCTAGGTAGGTAGGGGGGGGGCGAGAGGCTAGGGCGCGGGCGGAAGCGGGTGGGGGGGGGACCTAACCTACTCGATACCATGTTAGAATACGTGAATAAATGACTAGAAAGGGAAACAGGGAACATATAGCAGTTGGGTTGTACTCACTAGGAGCGCACACCGATACTAGCCTATAACTTCTACATGCATGACATGTATACGTTGACAATTTTGTCCTGATTCTGAAGCCCTGCCGCAAACGTCCCGTAAATGTTTAAATTATTAAACAAAGACAGAAGTGTATTTCAGGTTCGGAGGCGAGGTCCCTGGAGCAGAAAGTACCGGACCTTTTTTGCTCACGCCTCTGGCAAAGCGAGGACCCTTTTTTATCATTTCCCAAGTTTCTGCGACGCAAAAACTGGGCGACGAAACCCAACCTCCCCTCACGTCTGTTAGTTCGAAAGTCGCGAGATTGTCACCCCTCGCCTCAAACCACCTAAAATATCGCCCCTCGTAGACCAATCAGGCCTTTGGGTTCTCGTTCAACTAAAAAATGTTTGGAAATATGAGATGCTGGAACATTTGAACCTACGTCAGCCCAAGGGTTGTACACAACACACGGGCTGAGAGCGCCAGTTACTGAGCAGTCAGAGGTTCTGCATTGCCATTTGCAATACAACCTATGCTGCCAGCCAGAGAGATTTACTCGTGGGGGAGAGAGATGGCACTCATTGTGCAAGCCAGCCAGAGAGCCAGCCAGCCAGAATCACAAAAAGGCCCTGGAAGAAACATGGATTACTGAATGAAGATTACTTCAAAGCTCTGGACAAGCTCCGGTCACAGCAATGGCAATACATGGTTATGCACAGAGCACTCACCAGCGCCAGCAGGCGCTTATTCACCAGCCTAAATCCGAGTACTGGTCATCAGCCCTCTATTCTTCTCCTCATAGCGTGTGAGGAAAGCCCATCACCCCATCTATATCTCCTAAGCTATGAACTGCTTCCAGTTGTAATTGCTCGGCACGCTTCCCCCGCTCACACTCGACATCCTCCGCTCCCCTGGCGACGACCCAGGCCCTCGCGAGTTGTACTCCTTAAACTGAACCCCGCCTTTGGAATAACGCCCTTGCCAGTCCGACCACCCCACAGGCACAACAGCCTTATCCATGTAGCACGAATCGTACACCACCAGAGCCTTGTCCCGATACGGCCTCCCCAGATAAGCCTTCCCGTTGCCGTTGATAGTACTCTTGGATATAATCGCTCCGCCGCTGCCCATACTTCCCGTGGGCCAATCCGTGCCCATCGCAGTCAAATACCCGATGTACTGAATACTCGACTCGTAGTGCCGAACGTCGATCTGCGAATCAACGATCGCCACGCGTCCGAACCCCCAGATGACATCGGTGAGCCCCGAGATGTAACTCGCCTGGAACAGATGCTTCCCCGTGAACGCCCCCACCGTGTCAACCCATGCGATCAGCCCCATGGCGGACCACCGCGATCGCGACCCCAAAAGGCCTACGGCCGGTGCGGGATCGAAGGTCGTCTTAGCGGTGTTCTCTACAACGAAGCCCGCTGCAGAGAAATCGTTCCCTTCCACCACCAGCGTCGCCGCGTACCACGGAGACCCGCGCTTCGACTGCGCGTTTCCCGCCGAGATTATTGTCGACCTGCCCGCGCCTCGGAGGTCGACTTTGTTCTGCCCGGGCTTGATGTGCACCTGCTCGTTGTAGCGCCCGGGTTTTATGCAGATGCGCCACGTGGACGAACGCGATCCGGGGATTTTATTAACGGCGTCCTGCACGCTCTTGTACTGGCTGCTGCCATCTTTGCCCACCATCGCGTTGCACTTACTAAAGAGCGGGTACTTGCTCCCGCCTCCCCCCCTTGACGACGCCAGAACTCGTCGCAAGCCGTCGTCCACGACAGGATCGCCGTCTGCGACGTCCCACCAGTCGTCGCTCTCGTTCGTCGAGGTCGTCGACCCGGTCGCAGAGGAAGAATTCTGCGCGTCACCAGGAACCCCGGACATGCTCGTCGTGTCTTCATAGAATTGTTCGCCTTGATCGTTGAGTCTGGCATCGCCGGTGGAAGACGATTCGCGTGCTGGCTCGCCCTCTTCACGTGCCACTTCTTTTGCCGTTGCCCCTGCTACTGCTGCTCCTGCCACAACGCCTGTCCGGCCGCCATTAGGAGGTGCGGTGGCAGCGGACTCTGCCTCGGGATTGATACTCCTTGCTTGCAATATGTCGGCGATTTTTACGAACGGAGCTTGCGAGCATTCGCCGATGACGCCGGACGAGAGGAGAAGCAGAAAGAGCGACAGCAGCAAGACTGGTCGAGAGTGCCGCCATCGGGCCATGTCGACTGTCGCGGACGTCGCACAGTTACAGAATGCAGAATATGGAATACGGAACGCGGAATCACGAATCAGGACAGCACAGCCTGGAGGGAGGAGCGATTTCTAGGGCGATATATTCGAATGCCTTCTGCTCAAGGACAACAGCTGCGACGCAGGTTAGCCGGAGGCCGAGTACTGTTGTGTTGGCTCTAGTCGTCAGAGGCCTCCACTGGAAAACGCTAAGCCACGTGAAAGAGTCAGCTTGGAGGGCAAGCTTCCGTACTCCGTCAAGAGGACGGCCTAGGGAGACGTCTGAAGCGAGCAGCGTTTGATAAGGGAACAAGTGGATGGACTCGGGGTTGAAAGCACGGCAACGTGGCTGGAGGGGTCACAGTACCCAGTTCGTGTTGGTGCTGATCATAGCGCAAGGCGGACATGCCAAGGACGTGGTTGTGGTGAGAAGGGCGGGGATTGAAAGTCTGAAGGGGTGGGTGAAAGGTGATGGAAGGGGCGCTGGTGGTGGGGGGAAGCGCCGACAGACAGGAGATCTGCTCGAGGAAGGAACGAGAAGCGGGTGAGGTTAGAGAGGTGTGGCAGGAGGAGATGCGCTTGAATGCGGTGAGATTGGTACGGTAGTGAGTCGAATTGAGGGAATTGATTGGGGCCACTGAGGGAGGGAGGTATGGCGCCGAAGCGCGACGGAAGGCGGTCCGTGCAAAGAATTTGGTCGCGAATCTGTTTGGGTGGTTACATCGCTCGCGAGGGATCCGTGTAGCCTCTTTCATGACTCGCGATTCGCAAACTGGAGAATGCGATGGATGGATGCCAGGGGTGGGATCCACGATTGCACCGTCGTGCAGAGTTTCGCTGACGGCGTCAAAACTTTCTCAATTCAACCAGCACAGTGTTTCCAGGTGAGCGTTTCGCGCCAACGGCTTCGAAAAGGGCAGCCAAAGGCGAGGGAGGCCAAAATTGCGCCAATGGAGGGTCGTTTTCCATGTTCTTGTTTACAAGCTGTTCTGGTGCCGTATAATCCATATCGCCAACGAGAAGCGTTAACTGGAATGTGAAACCTACAAGAAGGCGAATTGGAACAAACGATGGGGTGGGATACCATTAGGTCATAGGAAGTTGAAACACTGCACACTGAATCAGGTCATCAAAGAATCCGAGATGTATTCAGAGAAGTTGAAACCATACATGGTCATTCATTCATAAACAACACATGGTCAGGTCATTCCTTCAAAACATTTCCCTGTCAAATGTAACTTAGGTCGTTATTGTAGACTATACTGGATTGTGCCTTAGAGGGTACAACACCCTAGACTATATACCCTTGTACTCACACATTCTGGTTCACTTATTCATTCTGACATGGTATCATAGTAGGTTAGGTCCCCCCCTAGCCCGCCCACGCTTCCGCCCCTAGGCCCTAGCCGCCGTCTTGCCCCGCTCCTAGCCGGCCCCCTGGCCGTCGCGCTCGTCCCTAGCCGGCCCCCTGGCCGTCGCGCCCGTCCCAAGACGGCCCCCTGGCCGTTCGCGCCCGTCCCTAGCCGGCCCCCCCTGGCGGTCTCGCCCGCCCCTAGCCGGCCCCCTGGCCGTTCGCGAGCGACCCTAGCCGGCCCCCTGGCCGTCGCGCCCGTCCATAGCTGGCCCCCTGGCCGTCGCGCCCGTCCCTATCTGGCCCCCTGGCCATTCGCGCCCGTCCCTAGCCGGCTCCCCTGGCCGTCGCACCCGCCCCTAGCCGGCCCCCTGGTCGTCGCGCCCGTCCCTAGCCGGCCCCCTGGCCGTCGCAGCTGCCCCTAGCTGCCGTCGCAGCTGCTTCCAGCCGGCTCACGGTCGCCCCTCGCCGTCGCGGCCGCCCCTAGCCGCCGTCGCTGCCGTCTCCAGCCGCCCCACGGTCGCTCCTGCCGTCGCGGCCGCCCCTAGCTGCTGTCGCGGCCGCCCCTAGCTGCCGTCGCGGCTGTTTCCAGCTGGCTCACGGCCGCCTCTCGCCGCCGCGGCCGCCCCTAGCCACCGTCGCTGCTGTCTCCAGCCGCCCCACCGTCGCTCCCGCCATCGCGGCCGTCCCTAGCCGCCGTCGCGGCTGTCCCTGGCCGCTGTCGCGGCCGGCTCTACTCGCCAATCCGCATCGCCCTGCGAACCCCCCGGTACCGTACTAAACCGCCTTGCACCGCAATGTACCGCACTGCACCGCACTGTACCGCACTACACCGCATTGCACCTCACTGTACCGCACTGCACCGCACTGCATCGTACTGTACCGCACTGCACCGCGCCGCACTGCACTGCACCGCACTGTACCGCACTGCGTTGCACTGCACCGCACTGTACTGCTCTCCACTGCCCTCTATTGTCACTGATGACGGAGGTGCTTCGCTTTGACGCTGAGGGCCAGCCAATTGAGTTTGATGCGTGGCTTGCTGACCTCCGTCGCCACCTCACTGGTCAGCGGCAGGATGGCCACTCTCTGTCTGTCCATCTTGACGGTACCCTCCCCTGCCCTGACCCCCCCGCTGCACTGTCTCCTGATCCCTCGTCCGCTGAGCGTGAGTCCGCTGCGGCCGCTGCCCTTGCACGCTCTGTCTGGCTGTCCCGTGACGCTGTCGCACAGCTTGCCATTAGCAATGCCCTCCCCCTGTCCGAGCGACCTCGCTTCAGGTCCATCACCACTGCCCAGGCTTTCCTAGATGCTGTTGTCCAGCGCTATTCCACCCCGCCTGCTACCTCGGTCCGTCGTCTGATCCTCCCCATGCTCTTCCCTGACCTTGCGTCGTTCCCCACTGTCGCCGACCTGGCCGCTCACCTGTGCACTATAGACGAGACTTGGCGAGTTGCCTGCACTCCCACACAACTTCTAGCCCACCAGCCGCCCCTCACCTCTACTCTCTACCTGCTAGCCACCCGCCTCCCTGACCGTCTTGCCACTGCCCGTGACCACTTCCATAGCGTCCACCCCGCAGACCTCACCCTCACTGACTTTGTTGACACCCTGTCCGCTATAGAGGCCTGCCACCGCTCTATCGCTCAGACCAGCGGTACTGTGCCGGTCCCTATCTTTCAGGGTTGCGCACCCGCTCAGTCCACCTTCTCTGACGGTTCTGTTGCTGTAGCTGAGACTGCCGCTGCAGCACAGGTCCGTCCGGGGAAGGATCGCCGCCCCAAGGCTGGGCGTGGCGGCGGGGGTGGGGGTGCAGGTGTAGGTGGTGCTAGAGCTGGGTCTCCTGGTGGTGGTGCGGACGAGGGGACCCTGCCAGGTGCAGCTGAGCAGCCGTCTCAGCAGCCGCCAGCGTTGCAGCCGGACTCGCGTCAGCCGGAGCAGTCGCAGCCACAGCAGAGACAGGCGAGTGGTCTCCCGCCCGGGTGGCCTGGCGCTGGTGGTAGCGCTGGACGTGGTGGTGGTGCGCGTGATGGGCTGCCGAGTGGTGGTTCGGGTGACGCGCGCTATCAGTACCTGCTCCAGACCGGTCCTCGCCGTGGCTTCGTTTGCAGTAAGATCGGTCACACCTCCGTCCGCTGTTTCCGTCACCTGGACGACCTGTTTCGTCAGCGTTTCGGCCCGTCGCCCGAGCTCCCAGACTCGCACGGTTTGCTTCGTCATAGGGTTCAGATTTTTTATCTCGATATGGATGAGATTGTTACTGTGCTGATGACTCTAGTGTGCTTCCGTCTTATTACCCCTTGTTGCCTAGTGTAGGTGTGCCTTGCTTAGACTCCCCTGCTGCGTCAGGCGTAGGATCCCCTGCTTTGTTTAGCCTTGGTGCTTCCGTCGCTGCTTCGCCTCCGGCCGCCACTGCCGCGCTCTCCTTCACCCTCGACTTTGGCGCTTCCCGGTGCTTCTTCCGCGACTCCACCACGTTGACACCCCTTTTTGTCCCTGCCGCAGTCTCTCTTGCTGACCCCTCCTTCGGCCTAGTAGTCGCCCGCAGTTCCACCACCCTCCCCTGCCCGGCGGTTCCTTCAGGCTCGCTCACAGGACTGCACATCCCCTCGTTCTCCAGGAACCTAGTTGGTTTTGGCTGCCTTCAGGACCTTGGCGTCACCACTACGTTCCCTGGACACGAGCGGTATGCTGTCTATACCGAGGCTGCCACTGGTGCCCCCCTGTCTACGTTCCCACAGGACCCGGTGTCCGGTCTTTTCACACTGGACACGGTGACCCCCCCGGCTGGGACCCCCCCTCAGGTGACTGCGTCTCCCCCGGTTGCTGCTGCCTGCTCCTGTCGGTCTCTCACTCCGAATCTTCTCTGGCACCACCGCCTAGGTCACCCTGCGCTCCCACGTCTGCGTCACATGTCACATCACGGTCTCGTCTTAGGCCTCACCGGCTCGTTCCCCGAGTTTCCCTCCTCCCCTGCCCCACCTTGCACGCCCTGTGTCGAGGGCCGGCTCCGCCGTGCCCCTCACTCCTCCTCGTTTCCCCCTACTGTAGCACCGCTACAGACTCTGCACATGGACGTCTGGGGCCCCGCCCCCGTCAATGGGCTGCGTCAAAAGCGCTTCTTCCTAGTGCTTGCCTACAACTACACGCGCTACACCACTGTATTCCCCCTTGGAGTGGAAGGCCGACGAGCCTGCCGTTTTTATCCCGTGGCTTATCTCTGCGCGTGTCCACCGCAGGTTTCCCTGTCTTGCGTCTCCACTTCGACCGTGGTGGCGAGTTCGCCTCTGGTGTCCTTGGTCGTTTCTGTCGTGCAGAGGGCATCACCCAGACGTTCACCTTGCCGAACTCCCCGCAGCAGAATGGGGTCGCTGAGCGACGCATCGGTTTGGTCATGGAGGTGGGTCGCACCTCCATGATCCATGCCGGGGCACCCCATTTTCTGTGGCCGTTCGCCGTTCACTACGCTGCTCACCAGCTTAACCTGTGGCCGCACCCCAAGCAGCCTCAGGTTTCGCCGGCCCTCCTCTGGTATGGGTCACCTGGTGACGCGTCTGCGTTCCACGTTTGGGGTTGCCTTACTCACGTTTGTGCCTCTGGCACGGACAAGCTCACTGCCCGCACCCTTCCCTGTGTCTTCCTCGGCTTCCCCCTTGACGCGTTTGACTGGCACTTCTACCACCCGTCGTCTCACCGGTTCTTTCACTCCCGTGACGTCACCTTTGACGAGTCCGTCTCCTTCTTCCACCGCTTCCCCCACCGAGGTCCCCCGGTTACCCCCCCCCCCTGATCCTGGTCACCCCTTCCCCGGTCGTCGCCGCCCCTCCTCCTCCCCCTCCCCGTCCAGACACCTCTGGTGTGTCCCACGTCACCCCACTTACGTCGGTTGTCCCGGTTGAGGAGTCTGCTGACTCTGGTGGTCCTGCGGCGCAGTCCTCGCCGCCTGCCCCTTCTCAGGTGTCTCCTCCTCCGCC